TCATCATCAGAAGCAGCACCGCTTGCAGCAGCAGCAGCAGCAGCAGCACCGCTTGCAGCAGCAGCAGCAGCAGCAGCAGGTATTTTACCTTGTTAAGCTGCACTCCGTCAGCAGGAACAACGGCGCCCAGGGGGACTCTGACTATGTCTCCTATCTGCAGCAGCTCAACGGGGATGATAGTAGGGGGCAGAGAAGCAACAGCAGCAATTTGCTGCTGCTGCAGCTGCTGTGCTGCAGCAGCAGGATATATACCTTTACATGCAGCAGCAAGAGTCTCCTCAGGGGGAGAAAAAGGGGATGTCTTCATTTCTTCTGCTGCTGCAGCTGCTGCTGCTGCTGCTGCTGCGAAATCACGCGGGGGACCTCCCTCCTCCTCCTTCTTCCCTGCTGCAGCAGCAGCAGCAGCAGCAGCAGCAGAGGCAGCAGCAGAAGCAGCAGCAGCATCAGCCAGGAGAATGGCGGTGTGGGGTCGTGTTGCTGTAAGCCGCCCCACAGCAGCAAACGCCTGTCTCCTCGCCCTTGTCTGCAGCAGCTTGCCTAGCAGCAGCACAGCTATAAGAACAGCAGCAGTATCATAGAAAGTAGGGGGATCAACAAAACCACTGCTGCTGCTGCTGCTGCTGCTGCTGCTGCTGCTGCTGCTGCTGCTGGTGGTGGTTCTGGTGGTAGAGGGGGGGTTGAGGATAGTTAAGATGACGGTGAGGATGGAGACAAAGAGAGAATAAAAAAAGGAGACACTTGTTGCTAGCGACATCAGCACATACATATCTGCTGTCCCCCGCAGCAAAGCGGAGACAGCCTTGCGGTGTACAGACAGCCCAGCAACATAAACAACAAAACAAGAAAGGAGACAAACTAACAACAATAAATAAGATACACCAGGAAGGAAAGACTCCGATTGCTGCAGCAGCAACAGCAACAACACCAACACAAACAGCAGCAGCAGCAGCAGCAGCAGCAGCAACGCAAACAACAGCAGCAACAAATAAAACAGAAGCAGCAGACGGCGCAGCAGCAGCAGCAGCAACAGCAGCAGCAGCAAAGGGAGCAATTGTATGAAAACGATGCAGCTGGCCCCTAAACCCTAAACCCTAAACGCTAAACCCTAAACCCTAAACGCTAAACCCTAAACCCTAAACACTAAACCCTAGCGAAGGGGAGAGAGGAGGCAGACAAAAAAGGAGACAAAAAAAAACAAAATAAGGCAGGAGACACCAGAGGAAGCAAACGGAGACAGAAGGATACAGTAAGAGACAGAAGGAGACAGAAAAAAGGAGACAGAAAGAGACAGAAGGAGACAGAAGGAGACAGAAGAAAGGAGAGAGGAGACAGAGGGAGAGAGAAGAATGATGAAGGAGACAGAAAGAGACAGAAGGAGACAGAAAAAAGGAGACAGAAGAAAGCAGAAAGGAGACAGAAGGGGACAGAAGGAGACAGGAGACATGAGACGGAGGGAGACAGGAGACAGAAGGAGACAGAAGAAAGGAGACAGAAGGAGAAAGAAGAAAGGAGACAGCAGAAAGGAGACAGAAGAAAGGAGACAAAAGGAGACAGTTCGTTGCACTTACAAGTACACCGAGATAAGAGGCGGGCACCACCATAGTGAGGAGAGCAATGATAGCTGAGGGGACAGCAGCAGCAACAAAACATTTCTGCTGCTGCTGCTGCTCTGCTGCTGCTGCTGCTGCTGGACCGAACAGCATCTCCCCACGAGGAGACCATTGGACCTTCCAGCCGCTGCTGCAGCACAGCAGCAGCAGCTGCCTCGCTCCTATTTTCTTGTGTGCGTAGACGATGCGAACACAAATGCTGCTGCTGCTGCTGCTGCTGTCTTCGTCTGCTGCTGCTGCTGCTGCTGCTGCAGTTTCTGTTGCAATTGCTACAGATATAACCCCAGGGACAGTCTGTAAGAAACTCCTAAATGCTGCGCCCCACACTGCAGCATCGCGGCTGTCTCCTCCGCAGGAGACAGCAGCAGCAGCAGCAGCAGCAGCAGGAGAGCAGCAGGGATGCAGTGTAGTCGCATAGCCGCATGCATTATTATCTGCTGCTGCTGCTGTTGCTGCAGCAGCAGCAGCAGCAGCTCGTGCTGCTTTGTTCAGGTCCAGCTCAGGGTCTCCTAGACACCTCACATCTGTGGGGCAGACATGCAATACAGCTGTGGCCTCTGCTGCTGCTGCTGCTGCTGCTGCTGCTGCTGTTGCTGTTCCTGCTGCTGCACTGCTGCTGCCGTGCTGCTGCTGCAGCACTTGATCCGAGAGCAGCAAAACCCGATACCCTAAACTAGACAGCTGCTGCTGCAGCTCTTCAGCTGTCAGCGTTGGCAAGGTGCTTTCATCTGCTGCTGGTGCTGCTGCTGTTGCTGCTGCTGTTGCTGCTGCTGCTGCTGCTGCTGCTGCTGCACGGTACTCTACTGACGCGCGCTCCAGCAGCAAGGAGACATTTGCTGCAGTTACACCCGGGAGGTGCAGCAGGTGCTGCTCTATAGTACGCACGCAGGAAGCGCAGCTCATGCCTGCAGCAGCAGCAGCAGCAGCAGCAGCAGTAGCAGCAGCAACAGCAGCAACAAATAGATGCAGCAGTAACAAAGGACGCAGCCCCCCACAAGGCTAGTCCGTGGCAGAGACAAAACCCTCAAACCCTAAACCCTAAACCCTAAACCCTAAACCCTGAACCCACCGTT